TTTCACAGTAAAAACAGAAAACCTTCCCTAAAACTCCAATTATTTGACYTTAAAAGCAGAAGATTAAAGTCGACCACTGTCATGAAAAGACTGCACCAAGTACAGTGATAAAAAAAAAGAAACAATAAAAGAATTCTACATTTAAAATAATCCCTTTGGGGCCAGATAAAATGYTAATGAGGGCCAGATCTGGCTCGCRGGCCTCGARTTTGACACAKTAAGTRAGTTAAGTGTTGAGCTCTGAATCTCGGTCACCTGAAGAGGTTTTTGATGTCCTCCTGAGGGACTGTGACCCGCTCCACTTTGAGCACCTGAGCAGCGAGCTCAGTCAGGTGATAGCTCTTACAGCGAATCAGCTCTTTGGCTGAGATCTCCACGTCGCACACCAGACGGCCACACGTTGCACTCTTCTCTGCAAAGGCTCCACGACCCTGACAGCACGAAACACACAAATAAGTGATTTCACAAAACATTTATATTACATTTACAGTCATAATTCGGTTTTACTCCTACCCCTAATTTAGGCATGTTGGCTCTCCTGAGGCGCCCAATTTTGGACCAGTGGGGAACCTTGCACACGTTGATCCTCTGCAGAAGAACTTCCAAGTCGAAACCAAAGATGTCGTGACCCTGCAGAAATACAAATCACCTTCATCAGTGAAAGGGAATCGAAAAGTGGCAGCAGATTAACAGATTATTTTAAACTTTGCATAACGGAGCCTAAATCTAGAGCTGCTCTCTGACGTTGGACCGGAGCGACTCACCACCAGCACGTCAGGGTCGATCTTGTGCATCTTGGCCAGAAAGAATCCGAGCAGAGTCCGCTCTGCAGCCGCTATCTCCACCTTCCCGTTCTAACAGAGGGAACGAGCTTCAAATTACTGCTTTAAATGCTTCAACCTCATAATAAAAAGTCCCTGGAGATCATTTTTACACATTTATTTTCTTGTACAAATTACATTAATGTCTGAAAATTAAAATATCTGAAAATAAAGCAGCAGCACAATAATACCTGTTCTAAACATGGTGAGCAAACATCAAAACATGACAAACTGCACTGCAAAAAACGTCCATCTAACCAAGTCTTTTAATCTTATATCCAGCCAAAAAAAATTTTTTT